TAGTAGTTTCCATTTTCTTTTCCATCATCCCTATGCAACCCCTATAAAACCCATATCTCTAAACCCAAACCCTGGACCCTAAACCCTCCCCGGGCCTCGCCAGCGTCTTGAGACCGCTGGACGTCCCAGCAACCACGTCCCTGGGCCTCCTCACGCTGAAGACGCTGCCCACCGCGGCCTCCACGGGTGTGTAGGACCATTGTAGGGTTTATAGGGTTTAGGGATTAGGGTTTAAGGGTTTTTTTCAACCCACAGGGATTAGGGTTTAGGGTTTAGGGATTGGGGTTTACGGTTTACGGTTTAGGGATTACCGGGGGTTAGCAGGGAACAGATAGTGGAACAGCAGATGGACACTTCTTCATTATAGAAGGGTGTATACTGGGGGTCAGTAGGGAATAAGGGAAAATATTTCATATGGATTATATTCCATTATTCCCTATTGACCACCAGCAAGCTTGCTGGAATCGTAATAATGCAGAACCAAATGCAAAATCGAACGGAACATTGACCGCAAACTTCTATATTGTTTGGAGTTTAAGCTAGGATTTCGGGCGCCACAATGGAGCAGGTTTCTAGGCTCAGAATTTTGTTCACTCCCACCATGGTTTGACGCAGGCAGGGACAATTGGTGTAGCTGAATGTTGCATCTTAGCCCTGAACTAAACCCGAAACCCTACATCCTGAATTAAACTCTCAACCCGACGTCCTAAAGTCCTACAGCAGCCTCCGTCTAAGCTGCGATTTGATTTTCTTGTGATTCTTGATAATTATTGGAGATAGTCGTAACCCTTACATATTTTTTGTGGATTTCCCTAACTCATGGGTACTTTTTGGGGTCCCCATATCAAAGATTCTATTAATTGGGGTCTACATTGGGGTCCGCCTCTTTCGGGACCCTTCGGGACCCTAAACCCCAAACCCTGAACCTTAAGCCCTAAACCCCAAACCATGTGTAATGGCAGCTTTGGTTGGCCTTCAACATCTCCAACTCCGCCTGCTCACGCTCCTTGCAACATGGATGGGAGCATCGAAGGTTAAGGTTGATCCCCTACCCTCATTATTGGGTTTAGGGTTTAGGTGTGGTCACGGCATAGAGTGCTCGCTGGTGTGGGACATGCCCAGGCCGCTCGCTGCGTAGCAGTCAACCAACCCACCCCATGACCACCCTGAGTTCAAGCAATTTAGGGTTTAGTTCCTAAAGTCTTATAGTCATCCCGGCGGGGCCCAGGCAGCGCCGACGAGGGCCATTCAATCGGGGACCGTGCATAATGTGATGTACTTCAAGACTCTGGCATTCCGCGAGGCTGTATTGCCCAATAGGTTGACATCCACGGCCAAAGCAAGAACCGTCAGTGGTCCCAACGATGTGCTGTTGGGTTACTTCTGAGGCTGCGTGGCGCAGCCGTGCTCTCAATGGTAATGGGTCAATGTTGGTTTTCTGTGAGGCTGTTTTTTGGCGGTCTGCATTCAAGACGCGACGCTGGGTTACTTCCGAGGCTGCATGTGACAGCCGTGCTCTCAATGGTAATGGTCAGTGCTGGCCCCGGCCTTCTGCGAGGCTGTTGCGTCGGGGCATTAATGGTCAGTGCTGGCTTTCTGCGAGGCTGTCGTGCCGGGGCATTTCCGCAGCCGCCTGAATACAGCGGCGCTCGAGGTTTTCTAGCCAATTTTGGTCCGCAGGAAACGAAACCAGAATTGGTCCGCTAGTGGTCTGGGGGCAGCCAGTCCGGAGACGCGAGAATTGATCCAGGAGCTATTTGGAGACGCCAACTTCGGTCTGGCGGCAGTCGCCCAGCTTGACCTGGGTTCCATGACGCTCTTTGCCGCTCGCGAAGCTCGGGCTGCTTCGGGCTCCGCGTGGCGGTTGTCGAGCCCCCAGCTAAGACTTTTGGGTTTTGGGTTCAAGGTTTAAAGTTCATCCCCCTCAGCCGCTAGATCCAAACCCTCAGAAAACAGGGCCCGCACAGCTTGCTCCTGCAAGCGCAGGGCCAGGGCCTCATGCCTCGAAGCTATATGGTTTAGGGACTTCGTTGGGGGTTTGGGTTTAGGCAAACCCTAAACCCTAAGCCCTAAATAGTAGTTTCCATATTTTTCCATTATCCCTATATAACCCCCTGTAACCCCATATAACCCAAAGACCTAGACCGCAATCTTGTGCAAGCGGGGTTGAGCCCCATGCCTGGCTGCCTGCTCGCCATCGTAGACCTGAGGCCACATGCTGCAAGCGCTTTTCCCAGAGCATGCAAGGTATAGTATAGGTGGCTTCAGGGAACGCTTAGGAAGGATGGGGAGCATCAGGGATTACTATAGAATCTAACAGTTCCTGTGTTGAATAATCCCAGGAATTTGTGATTAATGCTGGGAAAGATGACAACTGGCTGCCCGGGGTCCGCACCACGACTTCTGCCGGGAAATGCTCCTGGAATGCAAATTTTATGGTTTAGGGCTCAACACAAACAGTCTTCCACTCACTCTTCAAACCACTTGTGAGATGGGACTAGAAGGGATGTGGGGATGCTTTCTCATAATTAGATTTAGGGTTTAGGGTTTAGGCCATTGTGTATATGATAGTTTCCATGTGTTCAATTTGTTTTTGCCATTGGTTCTCCAGAACTGAAACTACCTCTAAACCTTAAACTCCACATCCTAAATTGCAGTTTTTCCATTCTCTCTCCCATTATTCCTGATAATTTGACCTTGATCTAATACCTACATAAGCCTATATGATATAGTAGTTTCCGTTTAAATTTCCATTATCCCAACATAACCCCAATATACACCCTATAATCCCTATATAATCCCTATATAATCCCCATAGTTTCCATTTTCTTTTCCATTATCCCTATATACGCTGCTTTGCAGTTCCACGCGAAATGGCTCTGTTTGCTCCACCTCGGGCTCATCAGTGTCACGAGCCATGGTGCCATCTGAGCATGTCTACTTCTTGCCCTTGGCATGTCTTCCTAATCTAAGGCTACAATGTGTACTACTACTCTACTGCATGTGAGCTGTCGAAGCTCCTAGTATCCCCCTGGGAAACCCCTAACATACTACGTATATATAGATAAATATGTATGTATCAGCCCCTTTGTGGAGTCTAGACTACAGCTCATGTGAGGGTGTGTTGAAAGGTGGGTGCGCGGTGAGTGGTGGAAGCGATCACCTTTGAGTGCATACGCTGCAAGCAAAAGTTGTCAGGCAGCGGCTTGCATCAAGGGGGAACCCCTAAACCCTAAACCCTGTATAACCCCCATATAACCCAATCTCCCCATATGTTTGGGTTTACGTCCCTTCGCTTCCAGCAAAGCAGCCTGGACTCCCGTCCAAGCTCCATGCGTCCGTGCTAAGTGTCCCGTCTTTTGACGCATGGCCAAGCATTATCAAGACCTGGAATATGAAACCAGGTGGGTTGCACACATATTGGATTAGGCCCCCGCCCATCCATAGTGATCTCAAACAGATTTCTTTATGGTTTCTTTTTAACACCACTGATGGGTTGGGGCCTAATCCAAGATACATATGTACAAATGGGCTGATTCATGAGGGACACAGGCGAAACCGACTCCCAGCTCCCTTTCCGAGCTGCCATATCAAACAAGGCGGGGTGCCTCAAAGGGGGTTTGGGAGTTCCGGGAACCCCAGGGATGTGGGAATTACAAGGAGGTTCTAGGGTCTGCACTTGGGAACTTGACCAAATTTCGGATGATCCCTTTATCAAGCCTACACCAGCCTAGATATTGTCTCGAAATCCAAACATCACACCTGCGTCAAAACCCAAGAAGGATAAACACTAAATCCCTAGCCCTGACTGTTCCTAAACCCTAAACCCTAGATAGTAGTTTCCATTTTCTTTGCCATTGTATCATTATATATCCCCTAAATACACTCCATATAACCCCTATATAATCCCGTTAATGCTTAGTAGTTTCCATTTTCTTTTGCCATTATATCATTATATATATATATCCCCTACGTACACTCCATATAACCCCTATATAATCCCTATAATTCTTAGTAGTTTCTATTTTCTTTTCCATTATCCCAATATTACCCCATATACTCCCTATATAACCCCTATATAATCCTTATAGTTTCCATTTTCTTTTCCATTATCCCAATACAACCCCATATACTCCCTATATAACCCCTATATATCTCAATAAAACCCTCTATAACCCTAAAGCTTCACGGAGGCCCCTCCGCGTGCAATCGCATCGGGCTTTGCCTCATCTACTCTCGGCAAGGAAGGCCTGTCTCAGCAAGTTGTACCTGACCCAAAAAAATTTGGGGGCCCAGAATCTAGGGTTATAGTAATAATAGTACTAATAAGAATAGTAATAATCGTAATAACCGTAATAATAGTAATACTAATAATTACAGTGCCTTGGGTCTCTGGGCTTTTCAGGGCTAAGGGCTTTTCGGGGGCAAAAAGCAAAGTGAGCCACGGGGAGGTGATGAGCCTCTGCAAAAGACAAAATGGGGGGTTCCCAAAATCAGGGGT